CTTATTTCTGCCGGAGGACCGAGGATCGAGGATCGAGGAGCGATAATGGAGGAGCGATAATCGAGGAACCACCAGACCATCCTCCGATGAAATCCTCAGATACTCGCCCCGCCCCCTTACTGTGTATCGCTCACTGATTGGACGATGCAGTGCATGCACTGATCTCATGCTTCTTGACATGAGAGCCGTTTCCCAGCGGAGTGAAGAAAATACATGAACCTCACGGGACTCACTCCTCAGTTTATACCGTGTTTTGTTTCAATTCCTGTTTCATTTAGTTACACATATGTGATATATCTGAACAACAAAGTGGCCAAAAATCATTTTATTCATTTGTTGGAAACATTTTCATGATCGCTTTTTTCGTTTTACATTTTCATTTATTGTCATTTCCATTCAGTCAGTCATTAAGTGCTATTGAAATGTTAATGTGCTACATATCCAAACAAACACACAAACAAACAAAGTGTGCAATCCAATGAATGTTAATCTAACTGGGTTTTGATAGATAACATATATATTTTTCTTTTCTCAATTATTTTATTTCTTTTGTGCACTCTAATCAATATTAATCAAACTATTGTTCGTTTATACATTTTAAGAATGGCGTTTATCTTTTTTGAGAATGAGTTCTTATTTTATTGTATTTATTGGGATCTACAACAGATGATACAAATGTTTGTGTCAGTAAATGTAATACTAACAGAGGCGGGGGGGTGTGTGGAAATAACGGGGACAGAGCTGGCTGCTGTCAGACGATCAGCTGTGCAGCGTCATCACAAACGGACGTCGCTTCACGTGACGCTCCGGTGGGAGGGACTAAACGCAGGGAAACGACGCAAGTGAGGGAACCAAGGATTTCATTTAATCGACCTGAGAAGCAGCCATTGACAACTGTCACTACCCGATCTGCAGCTCTGCCCGATCTGCAGTGCGCATGTGCGAGATGGTCCGCCATATTAGACAACTCTGGACGGCAACCCAAGTAGGACAACATTGACACAGTGGCTTTTGGCAAAGCTCAAAAGGAAAACTCGAGAGGGATGAGTTATTGTTATTACAACGTGACTTCACTATTATTTAACAACTCTTTTTATTGGGTTCTTTTATTTGGGGTTAAGTACATTGTCAGAATAAGTGAGGAATGAATTTAACTTCTGTTAGACAGCTATCATATACTGAATACATATTTACTGTGAATGTGTGCAAAAATGTATGGCATATACAAATGTCTAACAGAAGTTAAATTAATTCCTCACTTATTCTGACAATGTACTTAACCCCAAATAAAAGAACCCAATAAAAGAGTTGTTAAATAATAGTGAAGTCACGTTGTAATAACAATAACTCATCTCTCTCGAGTTTTCCTTTTGAGCTTTGCCAAAAGCCACTGTGTCAATAAGGTCCTACTTGGGTTGCCGTCCGGAGTTGTCCAATATGGCGGACCATCTCGCACATGCGCACTGCAGATCGGGCAGAGCTGCAGATCGGGTAGTGACATGCCCTTCTCACTTCGGTTAAATGGATTCCTTGCGTCCCTCACTTGCGTCGTTTCCCTTCGACTAGTCCCTCCCACCAGGGAAGCATGGAGAGACGCAAGGAAACCGCGAGAAGCAGGTAAATGAGTTTTAAGAACAATGGGACGTCCTTTCCTCCGGAGCGTCACGTGAAGCGACGTCCGTTTGTGATGACGCCGCACAGCTGATCGTCTGACAGCAGCCCTGTCCCCGTTGTTTTCAAAAACACCCCCGCCTCTGTTAGCACACATTTATTGACACAAACATTTGTATCATCTGTTGTAGACCCAAATACATTAAATAAAATAAGAACTCATCCTCAAAAAAGATAAACGCCATTCTTAAAATGTATAAACGAACAATAGTTTGATTAATATTGATTAGAGTGCACAATAGAAATAAAATAATTGAGAGAAGAAAAAGAGATATGTTATCTATCAAAACCCAGTTAGATTAACATTCATTGGATTGCACACTTTGTTTGTTTGTGTGGATATGTAGCACATTAACATTTTAAATAGCACTTAATGACTGACTGAATGGAAATGACAATAAATGAAAATGCAAAACGAAAAAAGCGATCATGAAAATGTTTCCAAAAAATGAATAAAATGATTTTTGACCACTTTGTTGTTCAGATATATCACATATTTGTAACTAAATGAAACATGAATTGAAACAAAACACGGTATAAACTGAGGAGTGACTCCCGTGAGGTTCATGTATTTTCTTCACTCCGCTGGGAAACTGCTCATGTCAAGAAGCATCAGATCAGTGCATGCAGTGGCGACTGGTCATTAGGGGCAGGTGGGGCACAGCCCCACCTAGTGTCAGCAGAAAGTATTAAAATAATGATTACAAAAAAATGCAAAAAATAAATTAAAAAATATATAAAATATATTTTAAGATCATGGTTAATCATCTGATTCGTCTGTACATTGCTGTTTTAGTCTGTGTTCTTCTAATTAGTGTCTACAGTGTGTGCCTATTGAGCTGTTTAGAGCCATGTGGGACAAAACCCGATCCTGCCCCTCCCTCTCCCTGTTTAAGTCAATGGTGACTGTAAAAACTACACTGCGCATGCTCAGAGTATTGTCCTATTTAATGTGTGTGGCAAAAAAATAATGACCATAGGGGCATAGAGCTGCCATCCCCACCATACGTCATCTCACATCATTCAGAGCTGATTGGCTGTAAGTACGTGTGCCGCGAAAAGTGTGGTGTGTGAAGAGGAGGAGAGAGAGCTGCAGTGAGGCGTCCTACAACCCGGAAATAAACTGCGCATGGCTTCCCTCCACAAAAAAGCAATGATATTTCTCCATAGAATTTTAGAAAATAGCTCCAAATAAGATCTGTGGGAAACGTAGCTGTTAGATAAATGCACGTTTTGTTCAGCCGGATAATATCCACTTGTCTACCCTACTTTTATAATTTTCGAATCATAAATCTATTGATTAGATCAGATTTATGATAGACTTTTGAAACTACAAGAACATAAGGAGGACTTTTACAAAAAAGTAATAGAGATTTTTGTCCAGAAGGATAGGCAAATGGACTTCATCTTCATGTCAAGGTAAGACTGCAATTTTACCACCGCGATGAAAATGGGATCTTACTAAGAGAGAACAATTCAATATTTAAATGATACAATTACATTTTTTGGGTATCCTTTTGTTGAACTGTCTGTTTAAAATTAATTGAAGCATCAGACAAAAAAAGCTTTTGAAAATAATATTATATTTTGATTTAGGTCAAAATATAATATTTGTAAACCTGAAGAGTCAGAGTCTCACCAGCCATGAACCTCACTGCAGAAGCTTATATATAGACATCTAAGTTTTTTGTGCCCCACCACTTTTGTACATATAAAAACGCCACTGAGTGCATGCACTGCATCGTCCAATCAGTGAGCGATACACAGTAAGGGAGCGGGGCGAGTGTCTGAGGATTTCATCGAAGGATGGTCTGGTGGTTCCTCGGTTATAGCTCCTCCATTATCGCTCCTCGATCCTTGATCCTCGGTCCTCCGGCAAAAATAAGGCCATTGGGACGCTACTCAAGATGACGCAGACAAATCAACTTCCGGTGAGACCGAGGAGCGAGGAAATGAAAAATAAGAGAAGTGAGAAGGGCCCCCGTCCTCCAGAACCTCCACTGGCTCCCCGTCCGTCAAAGAATCAACTTCAAAGTCCTCCTCATTACTCACAAAGCCCTCAACAATCAGGCCCCCCCCCACCTCACAGACCTGCTGCACCACCACGCCCCTTCCCGCTGCCTCCGCTCATCAGAAGCCAACCTCCTATCCATCCCCACCCGCACCAATCACCGGACCTGGGGGGACAGAGCCTTCTCCGTCGCTGCCCCCTCCCTCTGGAACTCACTCCCCCAACTCATCAGAGACTGCACTGACCTCACCACCTTCAAAAAACTCACAAAAACTCACCTCTTCAATCTGGCTTTTAATGTGTGATTGTTTTTGTATTAGGCCTATTTGACTTTAACTTTAACTATATATGTATTTGTTGTTCCTTCCTTTTCTTTTCCCTTCACTATATCTGTAAAGCGTCTTTGACCACCTGTAAAAGCGCTAACAAATTAAATCTATTATAATTATTTTGCTCTGGCCGGACAATTTTTTGGTGCTTGAAACAAACCGGATTCCGGAGCGAGGCTGATCCGCTGCGGTGTGAACACGAAAACCCGGTCCTTTCAAGCTCCAGCTCCGAACCGGTCCTGAAACACCGTTGGTGTGAATGAGGTATAAAAGACACGAGTGGATCTGACTTTAATTACATTTGAGTTGAGTGTTTCGTCAACCTAATGTGTTGCTTAAAATAATACTTGGCTACTGCAGACAGTAGTGACACTGTAAGTGTTGCACGGCCAGATACAGCTCGAGAAGCTGACTCAGATAAGGAAATATATGATACATTATGATATTATATGATCGATGATCTGATTAATGATGTGATATGATGAATGATAAGTGCGACACGTTGGCGTCTTCTCTGCATACGGCAGTTTAAACTGTATTTCCTTTATCCTGTAATATGACTTGATATATTTAAACTCCGCACACTGAGTTGATCTATTTTCTATAGACGCCGGAGGCGGGCAGCGTCAGGTAAAAAAAGTGATTTAGCCTTCCCAAATCTGAGCCTCACGCGCCGCCTATGAGCAGGACCACTCATAGATATATATAAACACAAAGCCAACACAAAGTGTTTATATATATCTATGGGACCACTGACCAGCATTTCTCAGGAGAAAAAGAGGCCTGGGACTGAAATGAGAATGACCAACCCATCCTCATGGCCAAACACTGGATCTGGATCAGTTACAAACTATTGAATACAACTTTTAAAAAGCTGAATAATTATAAAATATATGCACAAATGAGATGTTGTGAAAGTCCACAGCCCTTTTGCATTATACAATACACATTCATACTTTTAAAATAATCATTATTGTTCTATTGCATCATTTGAGATCAAAACTGGTCTTTTGGGATCCAGATTGTTTATTGTTTAAGGTTTACATATGTTAACATCCATAAACTACAGGTAACATCTAGATCTAAGGCCATGTTTCCCAACTTTGATAATATAATGCTGCCATCTGCTGGGCATTGTAGACCCTAAGACCCAGCATGTTTGAAAATAAGTTAAATCCAGTGCCTGTAACTACTGAACTAGCAGACCAATCTAGATTTCCTGTTTCATACAACTCCATGTTGAGCTGAACTGCACCAGGTCATGAGAGTGATCTGGTACGACAGCCCTGATAACAAAAAGGCATAACTAAATAGGAAAACGGATTTTCACATGTCATCTGTTAATTTTTAACAAAGCCTGAACTCTGAAATGTTCCCTTAGGGTTCAAACTCCTATGAGTTACAAGTCTTCTGATAATGGATATGTGTATGTAAAAGGTATGAATGAACTGATGATGGACTTTAAAAGAACAGTACACAAGTGCTTCCTGTCAGGAGATAAAATCACCTAAAAGTAACATGTACATTATGATAATCTTCCATTGAATCGCACAAGAACAAAATTCACATCAATGTTTATCTTGGTCAGGGAGCTCAAAATTACATTCATGTTTAATAACCATGCCTTTTAATTACTGGAGTGTAATCCATTATTATGCACTATTTATCTAAGAACGAATCATTTAAAGACAATTGGAGAGAGATTTTCCTCGGTTATTTTATCTATAATTCATAGGAGTAAAATCAACAGATTTCATAAGTAGATATCTAGCATATTGTTGACTATGTTGTCCAATTATTAATGTGGTATCTAGACCTGCAATCCTACAATAGCCTGGCAGTAATACACAGTGGTACCTTTTGAGAAAAGAAGCACCCAGGGCAAGGTGTGATCTTTGCATGGTGTATTAAAATTGCAAATATATCTTGGGTCCTCGATTAAACTCTCAGATGAACATATTTTTATTGCTTCTTTTTGAAAAACATGCCTAACAGCTTAAAGTAAGTTTTAGTTTCTCAACATTGCAGAAATGTTGTTCAAATCAGTTTTTTCAGGCACATGTGACCACATGCTCAGTTCCTGTGTGTGCTTATTGTACTGTATGTGAAACAGTTATGAATCCTTTTTACATTTTTAGTAAATACACATTTCAAAAGAAGTGACTTTCGGCAGGCACTTGTCAAATCCTTAGGAATGTTCGTTCTTTGGGTCCAGCAATCACCTCCCTTCAATGCCAAAATACATCTGAAATATTTCACAACAGCCTTTCTCATTTAAGAACTGGTAGAGCTGCCCAAGGTCCATGTGATTACCTCTGTTCCCATGGGGGTCAAACATTGCCTCTTCAAAGCCTGTGAATTTGCGCCGGGAGTCTATACTTTCTACAGTCCTGTTGTCCCCGCACTGACCATCAAGGGGAAAATCCTCTCTGTGTCGAATCATGATCTTCTTCCATGTCAGAGCCTTCACTCTGTGAAATGGGAAAAAGTTTGGAAAATCAATAAACCTTAGACCACAGCAGGCATCTGGTTGTGACATCAGCAGCTACAAATAACAGTATTCATGATACCTGGACCAGAACTCCTCGCAGGCAAAATGAAGACCTTCCACACACACAATACCAGGTTTCCCAGGCATGCTAAATCCTGACAGGCCCAGCTCCTTGGACCACTCCAAGATGTTCTTCCTCTTCGTCTTGTTGTAGATGTGATGACTGTAAATCCACAGACGGCTGAACGTTTCCTGTGGCCGCGGAGAGGAAGACTCTTTCTTAGGAGTCGGTGCTGCTGATAAGCTCTTGTTAATGAAAAGCTGCAGGTTGTCTTTCACCCATTCCACAGCGGAGAGCACACACACTTCCCCCAGGCAATGTTCCATGAGGTACGCATTGAGATCTGTGTGGAGCTGCGTCTGCTGGGCCCTGCTGAGATATGCACACCTAGAGCCAGAATAAAACATGCTGTGAGAAGGATTCAAAGAACATTCAAGGCCACATAGAGCTGGAAGTTTCCTACCTTGGGAGCAAAAACTACTAAAGGAAATCTTGAAGAAGCAAATATTTGCCCTACAACATAGCACAAAATAACATACCTTTAGGAGTTTGATTTACAAACAAATACGAATTACCATTCCCACATATTTTCAAATATGTTTTGTTAGTTAGTTGAAGTCAACTAAAAATATGTGTTTACTGCCTATTTCAGTATATTTGTGATTATGTGATGTACATATTTATAACCCGTTCTCTATAACGATTCAAAATATTAAGAATATTAGATTTGACAAATTGTGTCACTGGCCTTTGTTGTTTTACTGGCCACCTAAACAGGCACAGAAGGATAAACCACATTTCCCACATAAGCTGTGATGCCCACCATTAACCAATAGAGATTGATGCGTGTTATACTACCTCTTTAGCAGCTTGTATTAAGATTTTGTCAAATTAGAACAATATTAATTAATGTTACTGGTCAAAATAAAATCTATAAAGTGAACACATACAGCGCACAGCTAAATGCAGATTTCATAACCTCGAATAAAGCCATACCAGGAGAAAAATAACCCCTTGTTTTCTGACACAGTCACATAACCCTTTCCTTTGTGTTGTTAGTCTGTTGCCAATCTATGTCATTTTTCATTATTTCATTTTCACATCAGACCACATTTTTAAACTCTTGTCCTTTGATTTGTTTCTTGGCTCTTGAACATAGTTTGTTGTTGTTTTACAATATTATGTTTCCCTTACTAGCAATTGCATGCACATTTGAAAAGTGTTATGAACAAAGACAATTAGTGATTTTGTTTATGAAAACTCCATCACCCTACCATATAATAAAAGTGGATAGTATTGGCTTACCGGAGTGTTATTTCTGGTAACACACTGGGATATTCGGATGGATAAGTACAGGATAGAATGACATCAGTCTGAGTGGATCAAAATTAGAAAATAATAATGTTTTAAGCACATATTCAAATCACTAAGACATACTATGACAGACAGCCGGTTGTTTTGTTACCCTCTCCATGCTTGCAGTGTCCAGCTTCTGTTTGATGAAAAAGTGGGGTCTGGAGGGAGGGGGGCAGTCTGTTGAAGCTGAACCCTCCACATAGTCCCTGAGCTCGGCTAGTGCCAGCTGGTCTGTGATCTCCAGCTCCTCCCGGGTGGGAAACATACTGGTCAGCAGCTCGATCTCTGCCAGCTGAGACTCAGCCCACTCCAAGTAAGACATACTGATAAAGGCAAGCTACAGCGTCGATCTTCACTACTGTTATCCATAAACAATCACTGTATAATAACAGCTCTCTGTCCCAGCATTCAAATAGTTTGCTGTGTGTCCTGTCAAGCGTTGAACATCAATACAACAGTCAGCTGTATAGGAGTTGAATAAGCTAGTTACACACTGTACAACTTCAGTAATGCATGTGCTGGTGCTGTCTGCTGTGGCCAGAGTGTCTGTACTGTACCGCTAGTGCATGAGCCGGAAGTTGTTTAACGTCGGACTTTTTAAAACGACGCACACAGGAAATACACGTAGCGAGCAGCCCGGAGCAGCCGAACAGTGGCATTATCACATTTTTTAGTCCCGTTGTCTGCATGTGTCAGCTGACATTTTCTGCCAAATCAGCGGAGCTTTTTTTTCGCATTTTTTAAACTTTGTAACATTACCCCTTTATTTTCAAACCGTAGACTTCCATCGTACGGCTGTCATTAGTAAACCAAACGTAGCCTACTCTGTCCGGATGAGATATTTAACCCACACAAAGTAAACGAAAGCTCTTTTGTGACAGTAAGTTCGCTGGAACCTAATTACTGACCCTGGTCATTTATATACATGTAACATTGTTTGCTTCTGGCTGTGGATACACTGGCTGACTGCTGGGTCTGATTTCCATTCAATTCTTATTGTGCTTAGGTGAACATGGGAAAGAAAAGGGGGAAGGACAAAAGCTCCAGAGAGGAAGATGACTTTGAGATTACAGGTAAATAATATCATCATCATGACATAAATGTAATGTAACATATGATAACCTGTAGGAGGCTGGGGGTAACCTTCCCACATTGTGTGTGTTTTTATCTTAATAGTTCCATCCTGTAGGCACATTAAGAAGGGATCAGACCAAACTCTTCTAAAGAAACTCTCTGGGAGTGGTGATTGGACAAGTTGCCAGGATTGTAAGCCTGAAGAAAATGAAGAAAACAAAGAAAACATCAGCACCACTGTGCCACCGGAATCTGAAGAGGAAAAAGAGATGGAACCCATGTGGATGTGCTTGAAATGTGGCCATAGAGTGAGTTTAACATTTAACTTGTGAAAGTGTACAGTATGAAGTGACTTTTTGCTAAAGATGTACTTTCTAACAGGGATGTGGACGGAACTCTGAGAACCAGCATGCCATCAAACATTATGAGACTCCTCGTTCCGAACCACATTGTCTGGTGATCAGTTTGGACAACTGGAGTGTGTGGTGAGTATTTTGCAGTGGTGCTGTCAAAAGAAAAAAGTATGTAATAAAACATACTTTTGATATAATGTGTTGCCAAACTTGCAGGTGTTACATATGTGAGGATGAAGTCCAGTACTCCAGAACGGGACATTTGGCTCAGCTGTTGACCAACTTAAAAAAGCAAACCTCTGCAGATCCCATAAAGAGACCACAGAAGAGTAGGTCCTGTTGGAAAATTGAACATTTTTATGGACAAACCGTATTATTGGAATTACATTTGTATAACAATTTCCACCATGCCTTGATTGGTTATTTAGGAGTGAAGGAAGAAGCCTGCTTGTTGGAAGTTGAACAGAAGACAGATACTGTAAAAGCAGAGGACAAAGAGGACGAAGACAACAAAGAGAACAAGGACCACCCAAAGAAAAACGCCAAGAAAGAGAGTGTTGTGAAATCACAAAAGTCTGGCACATCTGAAGACATTGGTGGTATTTCAGTTAGAGGGCTGAGCAACCTTGGAAACACATGTTTCTTTAATTCAGTTATTCAGGTATGATTCACTTTATAGCAGTTAAAATGGGGTAGTCATAAATGCTATGTCATATTTAACTGCTGTATTCTTCTTTTCCAGAATCTTTCTCAAACACATCTCTTAAGACAGACTCTCAACAAAATGACGGAAGAGAAAATAGAACTTAACATCCAACCTGTTGCGCCCTCTGATCTGGTATGTACAGTAGCCATCATTCTTTAAATGTTTTATTATAAATATGGTCGATTTTTTTCCTCTATAATATACAAGGTTTTTTACTTAACTACTTGTTTTAAATGTGATTGCAGGAGCCTCTCGTATTGCATTTAGATCGGCCCGGACCCCTGACTATGGCTATGTGTCAACTACTCAATGAGATCCAGGAATCCAAGAAGGGTGTGGTAACACCGCGCGAGTTGTTCTCACAAGTTTGTAAAAAGTAAGTGCGGCTAGCTTGTTTGCTTAAAATGTACTTACTAGCATCACGGCATTAATTGTTGTTCATGATCTCGTCTTCTCTATGCAGGGCTGCCAGGTTCAAAGGTTTTCAGCAGCAAGACAGCCAGGAGCTGCTGCGCTACCTTCTGGATGGGATGCGAGCTGAGGAGACCAAAGTATGTATTCAGTTTGAAACATTTCTCGCTTTATCAATAAATACATTAAAATACATTATAAATCCCAAGGGGGACTTAGGTTTCGTGACACCATATTAGAATACAATATAAATATTGATAAAAGCATAGGTTGAAGTAAAAATAAACCCTTCAAGCACTACTCACTGTGGATCGTAGGTTCATTGTTATCGTTTTAAAGTTTGTGTTTTTCCCTGCAGAGAGTGAGCACGGGGATCATGGAGGCATTGAAAGGATCTAAAAAAAGTACAGATGGAGAGCAGCTGAAAACACGAGTTAAAGGTAAGTAACTGGGCTTTCAATTAAATGTGAGGAAACAATACTTTTTTGCATCCTACATTAATTTACAATCTTAGTCCACCCATGGTTAGATGTAGTCCGTTGACATTTATTTTTATTTCAGAGTACGAGAAAAACGGATTTCCAAAAAACGTTGTCGACCACGTTTTTGGTGGGGAAACGACCAGCACTATAATGTGTCAGCAATGCAAAACGGTATGCATGATGGATTTGTATTAAACTGACAGATAACCTGTTAAGCTTAATGTTAAGCTTAATGGCTGCTACTTTGCACTTACAGGTGTCTGTAGTCACAGAGATGTTTTTGGATCTTTCCCTTCCTGTCTCTGATGAGGTAAATCCCTTAAAATTCTTTCTTTAAAGGTTTTGCAATTATTTGTTTGTTTTTATATATTTGTGTTACTCTCTTGTTGCTAATTCTTACAGGCATACAGGAAGAAGAAACAGAAAAAAGAAGTTCAGAGAACCAGTGAATCGAGTCAGGATGGCAGAAACAGCCCTGCTTTGACTAACGGGAATGATGACATTCCCGAGGGGTCCGGCAGCAAGTACCAGCAGAAAAAAGCCAAGAAGCAGGCAAAGAAGCAGGCAAAGGTAATTCACTACAGGTTTTTCCTTTTGCTTAATTCACCAGTGTGCAGAATAAATGAATAAATTAGCTGTAACGTTCTCTTGCAGCAACAGAAGAGGCAGACGAAGCTTGACGGCAGAGTCACTTTGGACTCTGTCTCATCTCCGAGCCAAACGGAGAGCGAACAGGCTGATCCAGATGCAGAGGACGGGGAAAACGCTGACAATGGAACAAATGAGGAAGCCACACTAATTGGAGAAACTCCTGCACAAATCAGCGTGTCTGAAGAGGACCAGAAAACCCTCGAAACGGATCAGGATGGGAAGGAAAAGGAAAAAGAAGAAGAGGATGATGATTTGGTGAATGAGTGTGACTCATCCGCGACGTCATCAGTAAGCAACCGCTTTACAGCCTTATCAGAGGAGCAACCCTCAAAGGACAGCGTCTTGGACAATGACAACATATCTGACATGGATCAGGAAGTAGAACAGGACACAGAGCTAGTGAGCGAAATGGAGAAAGTAACCCTGGATGATGCCTTCATTGAAGATTCTCTTGATGTGGATCAAAGCATGGAGAGTGAAGAAGAGGAAGCTAAAGAGTACACTGTAGTAAGTCAGGACCCAGATCTGGCTTTCCACACTCTGGCTACCAGGAAAGCACCTGAGAAACAGGAGTGTTCAGTCCAGTCGTGCCTTTTCCAGTTCACAGAAGTGGAAACTCTCACGCAGAACAACAGCCTGCTTTGTGTCACCTGCACCAAGCGGCAGCCCAATAAAGAGAAAGCTGGAGGTATGTGTTATTCTGATCTAGGTGTTGTTGTTTTTGTGCAGTCCATAACACACATCAAGTAACTACAAACACAATAAGCCAATTTAAATGTGTGCTGTTGGTCTTGTAGCTGATGTTTTTCTGCTCGACTCAGTTTTTCATTTGAGGGATCAGTGAAGTTCATCGTCTTGTACTTTATGCTTTTTTTTTTTAAGCATCCAAGAAAAATGTCTACACTGATGCCTTGAAGCAAATGCTTATCTCGTCTCCCCCACCGGTGCTTACCCTTCATTTGAAAAGATTTCAACAGGTAAGACAGTTGAATAAAATGTCAACATTGTACACCTTTTGCAATTATTATTCACATAGCGATGAACCAACTGTTTAAAGAGCAAGAGACGTTTTGTTTTTGATCCTTTTCTTTCTTTTGTCATTGAATGTGGATTTTGAACAGAACTCTTTTGTTATTTTCCTCTAGAATGGATACAGTATTTGTAAGGTGAACAGACATGTCCAATTCCCCCTGATACTGGATCTAGCTCCCTTCTGTGCGGTTAAATGCAAGGTAAATATTGTGATTAGGAGCTTTTATTAAATATAGATATTCTTATAACCCTTTAAATAAGTGTGTTGTTCTTTAATAGTATGTGCACTAACAGAAAGTTGTTTCCTTACAGAACTTGACAGAGGGAGATAATCAGATTTTGTACAGTTTGTACGGCATCGTAGAGCACAGCGGGACAATGAGGTCAGGTCATTACACAGCGTATGTGAAAGCACGACCTGAGTGCCCTAAACTCTCATCCAATGGATGTACAGCTGAAGGTAGGTGTACCTATAGATTAAGTTGGTCCTAATGTTTTATGTATCTCCACTAACTCATCTCTTCCCTTCAAAACCTGCAGATTCAACCAGAGGATCCTGGTTCCATGTCAGCGACACAAGCGTTCAGCCTGTGAGCGAGAGCAAAGTGCAGGGTTGCCAAGCCTACCTCCTCTTCTATGAAAGAATCCTCTAATCAAACTGCGCTTCACTACTCAGGGAATCCAAACAAACCAACCGTCTGCTGCTGCTTCAGCTCCACAGTACAAGGGATCTCAAAATGTTAACCAACTAGTTATGACTATGACATTAACTCGGCTGTGATGAGATGAAATTGAGTATTCAGAATGGACATTTGAGAGTGTTGACATTTCAACACAGTCGTTTCACACAGTATTTCAAGTTACCAGGACCAGCTGTATGTTTCTCACACTTGTTTGAACGATGGCAAAGTGTGAAATGAAAGTCAACATAGACGTTTTACGGATTGTGGTAATGGATTTGTAAGACAGATTACAAGATAAACGAAAGTTGAGATAAATAATAACTTGTAAAACATGTTTATGTCTATTTTTATCAATATCATCATAATGAAATGGTTTAAAATTGGAAAAGTTGTTCCTGTCCTGTGTGCTGGCTTCCCGAGTCTTACACTGAGCATGCGCAGTAATTGCTTTACAGTACTTTTTCCTGGTCCCAGTAGCCACATGACGAGAGGGAAGCCTGGCTCCGGATGAGCAGAAACGTCTCTACTAAACATTTTCTAATGCCAGTTTTATCAAGCTGACATGGCAGGTCAGTGAACCTTTGCCTTCTTAAATTAATATTAAAACATATCGTTTATGTTTGAGCATGCCGTTATGTTTTTTAGCCAACAACAGGAAGATGTGTTCGCTCGGTACAGTAGTCAGAACATGGCTAACGGTCTTGGCCTAGCGTAAAGCCTCTCAGTTTGGATACAATTGTCGACCATTAACTTGACATTTGTATCTTATTAAACTCTTCCAGTTGTTAGTAACATTATGTTATCGTCGCAACTTCGGATACTTTTCTTTACGCCTCCACCAGGGAGAGTTGTGTAACTTGGCTAAACATGAGTCAGCATTTTTAACCTGCTACCCGAGCGAAAATGAAATCTATCCTGACTGCAGTCATTTACAAGTTGGATGACCGAGTTAACTCATCTAACCTTTAGCTATCTGCATCAGCTGATACATCATTAGATTTCTCTTTTACTGACTTCACACTGGAGCATGTAATAGCCTTAACACAGTAGGTCATCTTTTCTGCTGCCTATAATAATAATGTAAATTCAAGTTTTTGTTAAGTGTGTTATTCAAACAATACATTTGGTTTTACATATTAAAACAACCTCCCTTATTTGAGTAATGCTCAGACCAAACTTCTCAGATGGCTTATTTTATTGTTCCTTGAGGGGTCACCATCACCATGAAAATTAGCGTGGTGTTTTTAAATGATTGTGCAATTTTGCACCTCATGCTAGGGAACAATTATACTAGGGCTGCAATTATCACTTTAAAAAAGATATAATGTCATCCTATAAAATGCCAGTTAACTGTAAAAATGTCCATTTCAAATTCAAGGTGATGTCTTAAAATGTCTTGTTTCAACCTACCGGTCCAGATTCAAAAGCTATTTAGTCTACTATCATAGTGTGGTAAAGAAAACCGGATGGTATTCACATTTGAGAAGTGGGAACACATGCATTTTACATTATAAACTGATTTTTAAACTAATAAAAAATGTTGCACATCAATTTGTGTTTGATCAATAATGAACTTATCACTGCAGCTAGACTTGTTGACAGTCTGTTGTGACCATGACTCTGTTGTCTCCTCCCTGCTCCCTCTGTCACACAGGCTGAACTTGTTTGAACCATGTCGCTCCAAGCTTCTCGCATGTCAGTGTTCACCTTTCACTCTGCAGTGCACAGCGCTAATGTTCTCCAGAGTCTGGATGAGCAGAGGCGGCGGGACGTCCTGTGTGATGTGACGGTGTTGGTTGAAAGCAGGAGTTTCCGGGCCCACTGCTCTGTCTTGGCTTCCTGCAGTGAATACTTTCAGAGCAGGGTTACAAATGTCACCAGACAGAACACCATCATCTACTTGCCTGATGAGGTTGGTGTTCAGCTGATTCATCCTTCAGTCGCTGAAGGATTTGGGGCAAAAAGTTGACACTGATATTTTGTTTGTGCATGAATGTGTTGTAACTCGTCACTAATAATTGCCAATGCTGAATTCAGTTGCTCTACTCCGAATTCAAGTAAGGATGGTTTGTACTTGAGTACAATTGTTATGTCACTAGTATATTATGTCCAAAGTTTGAATTCAGTCATGGCCTAAGGCATCCTTGGAGGGAGTTTCTCTAACATTTCTGAACAAGACTAAGTTGTTATCACATGGACTGAAGATTTTCTTCAAGATTTTCCATTAAAAATGCTGACACAGCAATATCTATTCTTTTCAGCATTGGTTGTGTATCATGACGTTTGTTAATGTGCGGCCCTTTCAATACGATGAATGCCTGTGTACATTAAAAAGTATGTGACGACAATTTATATCAGACCCGTAAGCGATCAACCATTTTGAGCTTTCTTGATTTTAAGTGGCTTTTTTAACCACTGAGCTATATATCGTAGTACAGGCTATACTACATACAGCCATAGATCTGCATAAGAACGTCTCTTCATTAGCTGGTATATTTTCCAGAATAGTCTTTTCAAACGTTATTGTTGTTGTTGTTTAGTTTGTGCTGTGAGTTGTATTGTACCTTAACACTTTTGTTTATTTCCTGTTCCCCACAGGTGACTGTTGAAGGGTTTGAACCTTTGCTTCAATTTGCCTACACATCTAAGCTGCCCTTCACGAAAGAAAACATTCATGCCATTCACCGCAGTGCTGAGATTCTAGGATTTAATGACTTGGAGTCCTCATGCTTTGATTTCCTCATCCCAAAGTTTACTGCAGGTAATAGAGCCTCTCCGGAGGTCAGGCGGAGGGCCTGTTTTCTGAATCGGGAAGCCAGTGCCAGTTTTAGCCCCCGCGTAGAGAGCAGCCAACCAAAATCATTTGAGTCACACAGCTCACTGCCTTCAAGAGGTGATGAACAAACAGATTTCCCATCACAGTGTCCTCAGAGAGCACAGGGTCAGATGCACAGCGCGGAAGAACCCTTCTGTTTGGAGAATTGTGGGCCACAAATGGCCCCCTTATCTTTCTTAACAGAAAATGCTGTGTGCCCCATGTTGTCTTTGCCATGCCCAGCTGCCGACAAAGCAGATCATCTCACTCAGTTCTGCGAAAGAGACATTTTAAGGATGGGAGATGTGTGTAATCAAAGTGAGTTGAGTTTACAAGACTGTGGCTTACCCTGTGAGCTGTCCGCCCCGGGGGATGTGAGTCTGCCAGAACTCATTGAGCCAGCAGGTGATGTTAAGCAGAGTGTCGAGACGCTTGTTGCTGAAACCGACTGCAACCCCAGTTCCTGTCCACTTAACACATCAGGCGCGGAAGATTGCAGTGAGTTACTAGGGCAGAGTCAGGCTGGTTTTGTACAGAAAGTAGAAGGTGATCTCTCAGACCCGGCAGTAACTGATTCAAGCCACGAAGAGGGGATTGGGGAGAGGAGCAGCGTTGAGAGGGAGGTGGCTGAACATCTGGCCAAGGGGTTCTGGTCTGACATATGCCCATCTCAAGCTCAACCACTGCCCTTGGAAGCCATTGACCAAAACAATCTGTCAAAAGCATCAGACTTCCATTGGCTCAAGCAGCTGGACCTGAGCTCCAGTGTAGGAGACTGCCCCTTCCTCAGGGACTTTGGGACAGGTGATGACCCGGCCCCCCCCACCGACAGCCCCCCCCAGTCAGAGAAGAGCCCCTACATGTCCTCGCTCAACTCTGGGGACGACTCAGACCTGGACACAGACGGAGATACTGAGGCTAACAACAAACGAGCAGCAGAGGTCATTTTGATACACAGATTATTTGGTGATGGATAAAGATATTCATTTCATAATCTAACTCCTTAACCCTGTGCTCTACAGATTCAGCTTCCATTCCCAGTGGAGCAGATCTCAGCGCTGAGTCGGAGTGCCTTCCAGCAGCTTCTAAGACAACATCAACTGACTCAAGATCAGATGGAGTTTGTCCATGACGTCCGTCGACGAAGCAAAAACCGTGTGGCTGCTCAGCGCTGCCGAAAGAGGAAACTAGACGGCATTCACCATCTAGAAATTGACGTAAAAAAATTAGTAAGTTGCCTTTTTATATGTCTGGTATTCTCAACAAGATATGATTACATTTTGTGTTTGTATAACCTTTGCCAACCTCTAGGGGTGACCAGTATAAACTCCAGCAATGTTGATAGAAGTACAAGTCACAGCCTTTCACCTCTTGTCAATTTGACATAACAGAATAATTAACTTCTAATAAATATCAATAATTGAGCATCAATACAATATTTAAATACTTGTTTGACTGTCTCTCAATGCTACAACAAGTTATTTGGAAATGTACATAGGAGAAGATCAACATGGAAGCCTTTGCTGAACTTTTAACCCACATGGTTATTTCATAATGACAGATGAAAATGTGCACCTACTGACCAACTATCCACATAGTTTGAAAGTTAGATCAAGGTCTCCAAGGCGACACAAAAACATTTTATGAGTGAATGCAGATTTCTCCTTTTTTCATAGATACAAAATGACTTTATTTATTTAGCAGCTACAAATAACAAATCATTTGCCAAGCTCCATTGAGTGACCCTTTCATTTTACAGAGTAATCGCCAGTTGTAAGCTTTGGTCCAAAGAATGCATGTTTCATTAGGATTTGAGGAAGTGAAATAATCGTAACTCTTGTTCTTTGTCCAGAAAAGTCAGAAAGAGCGACTGCTGCAGGAGCGAACTGAGCTCCAGCAGAACCTGGACGAGACGCGGCAGAGCCTGTGCGGGTTGTTTAAGATTGTCAGCCTGGAGTCTGGCTCTAATCAGGACCATCTGCAGCTTCTCACCAAGGTCTCTTCACCAGACGGCTCCATCTCCTCCCCTAGCTATCTGGGGAAAGTAGAGGAGTACCAGATCCCTATCGAAATGGTAAGTTGTTCTTCAGAGTGTGACCCAAGCAAGCCACCTGCAGGCTCTGAGCAAAGTGCTGCTCCAGATGCTGACACTCAGACAGAGGAGGCCGGTTCTCCCCACAGCTGCCCTGCTCCCACTGCTCTGTATGTCTGTATGGACATCAACAACAGTTTATAATGGGACTTATATTGTCATCTCTAATCATGCAGGATCATGGAGCAGGGGTGGACTCTGAGTATATACTGTAAGCCCCCTTTGCGATATATATGCTTTCATGTTTAATTCACTGAATGATGTTCTGCCTGATTTAATGTGACATTCAGAGATGTCACTTTTATTTTACTGTACTTCCATTAAGCCCCTGTCACACGGTCCCGAAATTAACACCCGATGGACACACGAATATGGAATTGTGAATTTCGCACGAAGATGGCCCCGAACCACACACGAAGGCAACATTTACATTACATTTAAGACATGCAACTGCAACGAAAGTACCAAAAACAATTATGTTACAGTACTATGATACTGTACTGATATCTTCAGACTTTGTTCTTTACTTTATCCGTCTTTATATGTAGAAGATATTAAGTTTTCTCCGTCATGTTGTTTCCATAGCAACAACAACTTTCTGTCAACTCGCCTTCAAAATAATATATTATATCCTTTTTAGTTTCACAGAACACAAATTGGGTTGTGGACATGATTTTGTTGTGCAATAAAACAACCCGATGGACACACGATAAAGGAAATGTTCAAATTCGGCTGTGATCGTAGCAACATCGGGCCATTCTTGAGGGCATCTAAGCCATCGTATGACCGCCGGTGGAGTTTCTCAGGCTCCGGCAGCAACTTCGTGAGCGGTGGCAAAATCTTTGGCATGCCAACAAAAGTGCCGAAGGACCTTGCGAAGGTTCATTTTCGTGTTGAATTCGTGTGTCCATTTTGCCCTTCGTAAGGCCATCGTGAGGGCATCTTGTTATCATCGGTGCCATCGGGCATTCGCCCCGATCAGAGTGAGGGCGAATGCACCGATGATAACACGAAGATGACACGATTTGACAAGATGCCCTCACGAGTGCCTTACGAAGTTTCCGCTCACGAAGTTGCTGCCGGAGCCTGAGAAACTCCACCGGCGGTCATACGATGGCTTAGATGCCCTCACGAATGGCCCGATGTTGCTACGATCACAGCCGAATTTGAACATTTCCTTTATCGTGTGTCCATCGGGTGTCAATTTCGGGACAGTGTGACAGGGGCTTTATGCATTTCACTGTAGTTAGAAAATAATCATTTATAGTGATTTTCAAAGTGCGGACAAGGTTCAGGTTTTTCCTGAATGTTTCCATTCCTTAAAATGTTCCTGTTTCTCTCAGGGAAACTCACACCCTGACACGGTTTTGATGCCTCAAATATTTCTCACTGCACATCCATCTCATACACCTACAGTTCTGCAAACAAGACGTGTATTTCTTTTATACTAATAAGTCTATCATTATAATCGGAACACATTTTGTATTATTCTAGCATCATGCTGTTTCTCTGCAATATGTACAGCGCTAACAGATTGTTTCTTACAGTAAACTACAACAAGTTATTACAGCTAACACAAGTTCAGCATTATTTGAATATGCCAGTACATAGTTTGAATGAATAACGGTCAGCTTCCCCGATATTTGAGGAATAGTTCCTGTGAGTTGGCAACTGTTATAGGGGAACATAGGAACTCATTGATGCAAAATGTGCCTTATGCAGTATTATAGTATGAATACAGAACGGCAATCTTTGTATATCTTTCTCTCAAGCACTGTTGCACATTAACCAAGAGCCCATATTGATGGCATTTTCTTATGCTAAGATCTGTATTCACGTTTTTTATTGAATGCTTCCATTGATTACAGATTTGAATAAACCACATTTTGTTACCATCCAGTGTTTTTCTTTAACCAGCAATAAGGAATATTTCACCTTCTATGGATGCACAGTACCACAGTTTGGCCAATAGATGGAAGCACAACTCAATTTAGCTCACCAGTTTGTGACCATTAATTGACTACTAGAGCAATACAACAAAATGAATTGTTCCTTCTGAAATTCCTTCGCAAAATATTGCGCTTTTCTTGCAAGCTCAAAGCTTGATGTTGCAAAATGTATGTAAACTTTGGGCCACAATAAAAAATGAACCTTAAACGGCATGTAGTATCGCTCATGACAGTACATGTGAGCATTGGTTGAAATAATCAACAACAAATACTGAAATTAAGAAAAAAAGTGTGGCTGGGGCTTTTAGTGAGGAAGAGCATGATGGTTTTTAACGACTTGCAACTCAATTATAATACATTCTTATAAATTACACTAAATTCCTGCTTATTGCACATAACGCTGCGGTCATATGAACATACATTACGACTAAACTTCCTCCATTCCCACGGGATATTAAGATTGTGTTGTGTAATACTACTGCTCAAATCTAAACGGAACTAAACTTGTCTACACATGTTATGGATCTACACAGCGTCATTAGGAAGATTACAGATGGAACTAAATTAGAGTTGAAATTAGAGTCAGACTCGGATAAGGTTGATAAACGACCTGAGCTCTTTAAAGAGACAAAGTACCCAGAGACAGGAAATTAGAAATAGTAAGGTGTATATGGCAGCCATCCATTCCTTTACCCAGCAGTGCAGACTGATCATTAAGACTCGTTATGCTGTGTAGATGCAATGAAGAAAACTAGTGAAAGCAATATATTCCATACAATTATACAATTGGGTCTAAACTTTGTATTTCTTAAACGTAAAAATAAGCAGCACAACACAAGATTGGGGGCAAGTCATTACTCAATCAGATGTACACACATGCCACCAAAAGAAAAAGAAAGGAAAGAGCCAGCTGACCTCCTGGTGTTGTGCCACACATAAACAGAAACAATGCACTTTTTAAAAAAAGCGGTAGCCCTAACCTCCTTTAAAGGTGGGGTAGGTCATTTTGGAGAAACCAGCTCGAGTGCGCTAGAATTTAAAAATACACAGCTGGAAAAAAGCTGCCACTTCCTCACAGAGCCCCTCCTCCAACACACACGAACGCGCACATGACCAATGAGGGCACGAGATCAGTTTGTGCACAGATGGAAGGCTGACAGGCAGGTAGGCCATCCAGTTACTTTAGCCGGGTCGGCTAAAATGATTGGTCGTGCTTTTTACAGCGCTACGGCTTCCACAGATGACATTTTGTTATGTATTTTTTGTCAAAGCACTTCAGATATTCATTGCTATCGGGATGTTAAGAGCATTCCATGGAATATAACAAAAAGTGTATCTCGAGCCGGTTTCTCAAACTCACCTACCCCACCTTTAATGCTACGCATGAAGACAATTGTCTGCAGACACCTGTGTTACCAATAGGTGGTGTAGTTTTAAGTTCTCGTCCGCCTTCATTCATGGTAAAGTGTAGCACAAAATAGTATTTTAAAAGAGAGAAGAGGTCCTGAAGCTATCATCTATCATCAAAGAACAACTATAGATACTTTTCTTTCAAGGTAGGACCTTATAATGAAATCTGTTGTGAAGCAATCTCATTATCTATTTAAAAGAAACAAAAAATGTCATTCTGTTAGGAGTTTTTCCTTACATCCTTCATCATAGCAACCCAGGTCTTATGCACAATATGCATTGTTTTTATTACAAGCAAATAAACAGTTTGTGCATGATGCTTGCTGTTATTGCTCATTATTCCCAACATTCCTCATCTCACTTTTGTTTCAGCTGCTCATGTGTGAAGATCCATGTTTGAGCTGAAAACACAACACAGTTACAATCATGTATACCAATTTATTTGACGTTTTTGATTGTCTACTCTACTGTGTATTTTGACCTGTTTCAGCTGAACACAAGGGGACTCTCCATTAACATCAAAGTACTGTTGCACTTAAATGAAGGAAAAGCAATCTCATTGTGTTTTCCTCAGAACACAGTTTTCAAGGTTAAAGTGGTAATTACAGGGAAACACTGAAGCCACTAATAAAACCTGTACCCATCTTTCAGAAGTCAACACACACACACACACGCTGAAAAACAAAGCTCAGCTCTGGACTCGACAAGTGGTGTTGCATCTAAAAGTCAAAAGGATTAGATGATGATAATGCCACAGAGATTAGATATCATGACACACATCTGTAGAAAATCCTCAAATTGATGGTTGTCAAAAGTGGCATCACCTTCAAATACCAAAGCACTCCAAAGCATCATGAATTAGACCAGTGTATGATGTTTCATTAAAAAATTAGGATTTGTTTGTCTCTTTTATGCACAATTTGTATTTAGGAGCATTGTAGCGCACACAAGTAAGATTATCCTCTCTTGCGAGCTACACAGGCAGAGAAACTTGATTTGAGGAGGAAGCAGCTGTGCGCCATGGCAAGGTCAGAGGCCCATAATCCGCGGCCTCATTCATGCGGGATTAAAAACCTGCTCTGAGTTGTGATTAAGAACGCAGGGTTAGAAGATTAAAGACCAGCAAACAAAATGAAAGCAGTTTAAGCCCAATCCTGGAATTCATCAGAATACCAAAACCTTAAACTGTCATTACAACGTGAGATTAATGCAAAGCCTCTCTGAACTCTGTATCAATCTTGATATATCTTCTGTGTCAGAGCATATATTTCTCTTTCTTATAAACTCAAGTCTTGATAAAGATCTCACACTTTGTCGTTTGTCCCCACCTCCCTCCATTTGTTTCTCTTTGAAAATGTAGATTTTTTAATCCTATTAAAACAATACTTTTTATTGTATTTATTTTGAATCTATTTTCCGTGTTTTTTCTTCTCTTGCTTCTCTTGCTTTCTCCCGCAGTCTAAAGACATGTTATGTTCATTGTGCTAAACTCTAAATGACCTGTAGGAGTGAGCTTGAATGGCTGTCCCCCTGCGCCCTGTGATGACTGGCCCACTCCCGCCCAATTTCAGCTGTGACCGCTCCAGCCCTCCCCTGTAAAGGATACGTGGTTACAGATAAAGGATGGATGGGTTTACGTGTTTTTATTTTACCTACTTTTCACAATGATTCCAGTCGTTATCCTCTGATAGGCAGACTCCACAGTACTTAGGTAGCTAGGATTAGGAAACAGGAGGCAAGCGGGAAAAACAAGGATTAGAAATTAAAACATCTGGAAGTTAGGTTGCCTGCGAATATACTAGAGCAGAGAATATACTAAAAACATTGACAAACACTATTCAGTGTAGCACTCTGACTGCGGACTTCACTTGTCCTGCAGGCTAAAACTGACAGATACAAATGTCATAAAGTAGTTCTTGTTAAACAAGAAGCAACAACTGAAAGTTACATATGTGGTTGTTAAACTTTTCCATATCCATATTTACTTTTTGAGATAAATTGAAGTTGTTATAAAAAGCAGCACAATCTCATTTTTGGGAGAAGAACAGCAATGATATGAGAATATAAGTCTCACATCTGTAAACACCAGATGATCAACTAATATGTCAATGAGCTTTTACATGTTCCCCTTCCTCTATATACATATCAAATAGCTGCAGAGCAAGGACCTTTGTCAAAGCCTTATGATTGAAGAGCTAAGAAGTGGACATACATATAGTTTTGGAGTTTGTCTACCAGGGGTCAAAATCCTAGAGAAAAACACAATACTTGTGTAATCAATCCAAGCATAAGGTCCATGACCTTCTAGCAACACAACATAAATCTTATAAGCTGTTGAGCAACTGTATCCTAACTGATTAAATGCTGTAGTCACAATGAACTTCATTTTGGGGGCAGCGCAGAAAAGGGGGCTGTATCCCATTGACAGGATTATATAAATGAGGACCATAATACTGTAATCTCCCAGAGAAATGAGAGAAACCAGGGGACATGCCGACCCCAGCTCGCATAGCACCCTGGTCTTTAACTGTCAGATTAACAAACAGCTGGTTGAACAGTGACAGATGACATTCATTCACACTTGCTTTCTTGTTTCAACAGTCCACCCTGTGTTGCATTTGCAACACTTGAAACATAAGGAAAAACGCCACTCAGTATAGGATCCATCAAATTAGTCATACTGTGTCAGGGTCTCACTATTTAACCAACATTTATCAATCAAGAGCTAAGTGGAAAAGCAAAAATGATGCCTGCAATTCTGCATCGTTTTTAATGAACTTTTCTGTATTGAAACTTAAAGTTAGATTAGGAATTAAATCATTTTTTCTTAAGCAGCGCAGAAAATATCTTCAAAGGGGGATGCCATCATCCTTTTAACAAATTCACATACGTTATACAGCATTTTCATTGGATTTGAATAAACAGTTAGATCATTTTATATTATGGTTGCTGATTCCTTTGAGTGCAAACAATAAACATAATTTACAAAGATTCTCAAATGTATCCAAAAGATATCCAGTTCACTTATGCATTTCATTTGAAGCTAGAGGTGCAGCTCTCTGAACAATTTAAAACAACAATTTAAACTTAATATAAGATTTATCTTTATTAACAAATGTATATCAACCAATATAACAGCAGTCAAATCATGTTTTAAAAACTCAATACCTTAGATTTGTTTTCTCAAAGTGTGTTTGTGTGGCAAAGGAACATGCTGTGTAATGCTGCTCTCTCATTTGCTTTGACTATTCTCTTCATTGTCATGTGACTAAAAACATACCCAGGTCCTCCATCACAGCATTGAAAGGAAACTGTAAAGTAAAATAGTAAAAGCAAAGAAAAGGAAGACAGCGCTAAATCAACAGGTCAAAATGAAGAAACACACTGGTCTTAAAAACATCTTTAACATCACAGCATTGTTCCAGTTGATTGTTAGAGTTTGACCTGGCGTCATACTGTTTCAGTCACTAAGACACACCTCTCAAATGGAAACAGCTGGGAGTTTATAGTTTTTAGAGCTCAGTATTGTTAACACCTGTAATCTTATGATTGTTGCTAGTTTCAAACGTGTGGTACCTGAAAAATTCCCTCAAAGTTCATGATTTCATTTCAAAATGTTTTATCTCCTTTTTCTTTCATGGTGGGCATTCACATACCGTTAAACTTTTCTAATTTAAACTTAAAGGTTTTAATACTAACATGTTTTTTTCCGGCAATACTAATTAAATGATCAAAACTGCAGTGTCATTGTGAGCAAATGGGTGTTGCCAATAAATGCAACATTTGCATTAGATTCCCATTAAATGTTTCACAAAAAGCTAATTAGCATTATATTGAATCAATGTTGTATGAGTAAAGCAAGTAGCAAGTCAAAAATCATCTTTGCAAAACTCATAATCACTAGTCAATCATAGTTGTTCATAAATCCACCAATCTGTCCTTAGTTACAGGTATTATTATTTCAAACCTGAAATGTTGTCACATCAAATTGAATGTGACATAAATCCTATAAAGCAGAGGGAGAACAAGCAGAGCTCAGAATTAACTGTTAGATTTCGGGGAAGAAGAATTTCATTACATATGCAGGATTTTCTAATCTAATGTGGGACATGTGTGGCCTGTAAACCAGGAGTGTTTAATACGTGTTTGTAATCCACTTCATAATGAGGATGTTATTTACAAGCCTAAACCCGAGTGAGGTGAATATGTGTCTGATTAGAACTGAGAGGAAGCTAAGAGAAATGGCATTCAGGGATACAAGAAGCTATGCTGAGACAGTGACATGTGTCCTCAGCCAATGAGACCACCCGAGTTAACCTTTAATCCTAAAAACATCTCGCTAAATGTCAACTGCTGCACGATGAGTTGCTTTACATTCTGTGCAAAACCAACATAACTGTGGTTAAGACTAGTTGTGCTGCTTTACATTGTTAATTTACAAAAGTATAATAGTTGGTTAATTAATGGTATGCCAAAAATAAGACCATGGTGATATACATTGAATAATACGTGTAATAAAGTATGATTTCTATAGTGCAGGCCAAAAACAACAACAAGCAAACCTGAGTTTACTGAACTCATAATAACCCTGTCCTCAGATCACACGAGTGAAGTGTCGAATGAAAATTGTTCCCCAGAAACAAATTATAAGGGAACTAAAAAGGATCACAACCATCAAATATTCAAACTGGGACAGCTGGAATTTGAAATTGTGCAAACGTTATCCCACTTGCTAACCTCTCCACCAAGGAAGGGGAAAAGCTGTGCGTGCAGAGAAAGGGAGAAATCAAAGCCAAAACAAGCGGAAATAAAAGGTTAAAGGACGTAATGTTCTCACATAACTTTAGTCATTCTGAAACAATTCCAACTTGACGAAACATATACATGCATGTTTGTGAACTTGATATGATACAAAAGCAAAAGAAGACAGCAGACAGTAAGCAACTGATGGCCTGAGTGTAAAACAACTTGAATAACATTTTGTGGGAACACTCAAAAACAAAATGGAAACATGAATAAATCAAGTTATTATTTTTTTTTTAAATACATGAATACATACAAAAGTGGTAAGAAGAAGTTCTCTCGTTTCTTTGCACTCTTAATATGAAAATTACCAAAACATTTTACAGAACCCTCCCAACCCTACTGCAGTTGTTCATAATAATACGACAAACAAGCCTTAACAAGCCTCTTGCTGACGTATTCACAATATCATGGCATGACAATTACCTTTTAGTTCCACACAAAACAATGTAACAGTTTTTTTGCAAAAGAAGCAAGGCCAAGATGGTCAAGTGTCATGATGTCAGAAGTCAACAGCCATCTGTCATCATAGGAAAGGGTTTCAAAAGTATTCTTCCAATTAAGACTAAAATGTCCATGAGCTCTACATTAAAACTACTGAAAACACTCAACTCTTTATTAAAAAGCATTTCTTTTTTGATTGTAACAATGCAGTTCAACACATTCAGACATATTTCTTGTTGGCCCAGTGATTACTGTAGTCCTCTGAAGACAACAATAACAACATAAATGTGTAGGTGCGTTTATAACAGTCTTTGATCAAGTCCCCTAGTGTGTTAATACTTGTTATGCCATTCGCACTGACCAACACTCACCTCCTCGATGTCCAAGTTTTTTCGGGATTTGTAAATAAATTCTCCAATTGCTACAAAAACTGAGAGGACGAGTCCGGCAGCCAGCACAATAAAGATTCCGCCAATGTTCTCCACACCCAGAGCACTGGCCTCTTTGCTGTCCTCCTCTGGGCAGCCATTTCCTCTCCACCATTTCTCCTTCATCATGTGCAGCTTCCCTTCCTCCTGAAGCTGCAAGATGGCGATGGTGACCTTGTCTCTGTAAGGGGAACCTAAAAACAGCAGCCGGATCAAATCATTATTACAGTCAAAACCAGCGTCATAACCTTTGGGTGTTTTGTTTTGTAGACAGATAGGGCGCATCTTTTAGTTATCATTGTTATTTTGTTTTTCATGTCTCTTACCAATTGGGGTTCCCACTCCATAGCCCTTTGAATCTATCAAGCCTCCAATCTGTGTGAGGTTGCAGTTACGCTGGCTGATGTACTCGATGCTGGTCGATTCCATCAGAAGAGCATAGTCTGTGGTGAGAACCCTCTGAATCCCCTCCCGGTTGTTTTTCACCAAGGCTGTATTTTTCCTACTGCTCATGAACGCCCACATTTTTTCGTAAGTTGAGATCTTAGATTTCTGTTAAATAAGAATTGGGAAGTTTAGAACAATGCATTATGGTAGTCAAGGGAGCAACAACAACACAGACCTCTGCACACAACAGACAATGTGGATGCATGGTCATTGGTTGAGGCTTTTATGTAATATTTCAAATAATTTTGGAGTCTAAAGCAACCATCCTGATGAATAGCAGGAGATTGGATGAGACAAGTTTGTACACATTTGCCCAAGTTGATTCGATTTTCTCTGAAGAATAATACATCCGTGAATCTTTATAGAAGATTTGGCCAGAGGCTTTTCTTAATCTGCATGTATGAGGAAGTTAACCCTTGACCCTCCTTTTTATCCCAAACCCAACCCATCACACAGCACTTGTCACGTTGCGGTAATGACTGATGGCTCAAGGGTAAAACTTGTCAGGATTATTAAACTCAAAAGTGGTGTTCTTGTTTGCATCCCCATTGTTGTAAAGGTACATTTACCATTTGCTGTACAATGAAAGAAGATTACCTTAAAAAAGGTCATGGTGGAGCCGTCTCTTACAGCACCGTACTCTATTTTCGTTTGCTTGGCCAAGTCATCTGCAGAGTCGATTGGTGAGTCCATCCTCTCCACAGTGAGGAAGGCAGCCAAGTTGGCAGTGTATGAGGAGATTATGATCAGCGTAAAGAACCACCATATTCCACCAACTATCCTCGTAGAGAGGGCCTTAGGCATCAGCTCAGATCCTGTAAGATAACAACACAAGGTACATTAGAAATTCCACAAACACATAAGTCAAAGATGGTAAAGGAGGTGACAAAAATAGCAATGCCACTGATTATCTTATTTATTTAAAGGCAGGCCACACATATTATAATATTTATGCATGAAGGAGATGGGTGAAGGTGATCTACCAAAGGTATGAACACAGCATAACAACATAATACTATTATAATTGCAGGAAGTGTACCTTGTTGCATAAGTGCTCCGACTCCAAACCAGACACTGTTTATTAGAGTGAAGTTGTTTTCGACCACATCCGAGTCTGGGTTGCAGGGGTGAGGGTTGTACCACTCATAAGGAGTAAACCTGAGGAAGAAGAATCAAAAGGAAACAATAAATTATACAACAAACAAAACTCCTTCTGACCAAAGACACATACAAATAAACTACTGTTGCTAGTTATTGCAGCAGTGTGCAAACAAATCTATAGGTCCTTGTTGCAGCCAAAATAAATGCTTGAATACAAATAAATCCAAATGGCCGAATGAATTCAGGAATTATCAATAGTTAGAGGAAATTGAAAAAACATTTTTGGCCAAACAATGTGACTTAAAGTGCAATAAACCATAACAAAAAAAACAGACAAAGAATTGTATTCACACAATAATCTTCATTCATTTAAATGTTCTTTATGCTTTACCTGGCAATAACAAAGAGCACACAGCTGACACCCAGGCATGCCAGTAGCACATACATCCAGATATCAGGAGACAGAGGGTTGAGGAAGGAGAACACCCCTGGATTGGTGCCGTTGGGTTTGTGGTAGAGGATGCTGATTCCCAGCGTCATGAAGGGTTTGGAGAAATCTATCACCTTTTCCCTCACATATGTGATAGTGAGAGGGGCCACAGCGAGGTCAGCCACCTGGTACAGAAGCATCAGGCAGAACCAGAGTCAGAAACAGATGGTACTGCGGATCATATGGATATTCTCTCACATATAATATTGACTGCTACTCACATGGTCAATGAGTTCTCGCACCATGCCGTTCCACTCCCCCTTGTCATTCTGAGCTCCATATTTGCCATCAGTCACCAACTTCACCTCATAGGAGAAGCCCAAAATGTTGGAGAGCTCTTTGAGCAGGTCGAGGCAGTAGCCCTCAAAGCGATCATTTCCATACAAGGGCTTATCAGATTTCTTATGCATGACATAGGGATTTTCCTGGAACGAGGCAGAAAACCGACTTTATTCGTTTTTGTCAAGATATTCATGAAGGAATGCTGTCTGATAATAACTTGAGATCATACCAGAATAGTTGTGACAATGAGTGTCCTGTTGGCCATTGAGTCGGTCACATTTGTGGATGAGTCCTTGTTGCTTTCTGTTAAATTAAGGCCTGTTTGAGAGTTCCACACGCCAATCTGTAAAGAATAAGATATTTAAATAATCACACATTTGTCAAAGATAAATAGTTGCCCAGGTCAGGCTTACTGGAACAAGGTAAGGAATGTAAAAGGGGGGGAAACAAGCATGAGGAATCAGAATACATTCAAAGTCCAAACAGAGATGAGAGAGTGGTAAAGGAAAAAAAGGAAAAGTTATAAAACACAACATCTGAAATGAAGCTTGAAATTCCATGTCCAGTGCAGAAATGTTGAACATTTCTTTCCACCGGTTCCTAAAACTTATTTTTAAGAAGAAGGGGAGACATCACACTGAAGGTAGAGAAAATTCATTTAAAAAAAGGTCATATTCGATTAGTCTGCTAGGGCAGCTAAAGTACAAACCTTTTTCCACACTTTATTCAGGCGATTGTTGCCCGCGATTGTCTTGCAGAAATAATAAAGAGAAAGCATTTTAATGACAAGGTCCTGAACTTAAAGTCAAAAACAATGATGATGAATTTGCGATTGAAGACAAAAAATACAATAAATACATCTGGGTATAACCCTTCTTTGGTTTGAAATTACAACCTGTACTTTCAATTTCAAGGTTTGATTTCTTTGTTGTGAAGAAAAATAATGACTTGCCTAATTTGAGGGCAGCATTGTCAATGTGATTAAAGCAACATCTGCACACCTTCAAATGACAGCGACAAAACTAATTGCCAAAGGCTGTGTATCAAAACAGTTGCATGTTTTTTTCTTTGGCATAATTGCTACACCGGTTTTCGATACTGACACTGTCACATTGTTCACAGTGAATAGCAGTGACCCGGTTTGTCTATGCTCTGCTATGAATGTCCACAATAACAGCCTGTAATAATAGACTCGGGTCAGATAGTTCACCTTCTCCAAGCCATCTTCCTTGAGGCTGATGACATCTAAATCAAATTCTTTCCGCAGGCCGTCCGTCTTGTTTACAATTATTTGTCCCGTCAAGCCGTTCCATTGTGCCTGTGGCAGAGAGAACAGAAAACAAAACCTATGAGTCCCTCAGCTTTTGTTGTCACACACATAAATGCAAAGTCAAGCAGAAGCCTGGAAAATGTTAAACAATTTAAAACATGAATAATTGATGAGTGCTACGCTAGGCAAAGAACATTGACAATGGCTAACTGCATCTTATTGGACATTAGCATTGGCTGGATCCCCAGTGGAAATATGAAGTATCTCTGAGCATATTACATGGTGGACAGTGATGTAAATGGAGCAGGCAGCATGGCCTCTGTGTGTGTGTGTGTGTGTGGTGTGTGTGTGTGTGTGTGTGTGTGTGTGTGTGTGTGTGTGTGTGTGTGTGTGTGTGTGTGTGTGTGTGTGTGTGTGTGTGTGTGTGTGTGTGTGTGTGTGTGTGTGTGTGTGTGTGGGTGGTGTGGCGGCGGGTGGGCAGCAGGGCTCAGAGATATCTGAAAGCAGTTGATAATAAAGTGAGCTCAGCTGAATAACATGCAGGTTTAGTCTCTATTACAGAGGGTTTAGATAAATGGGCTGCATCCTTTTTCTTTATGTGAAGATGGCATATATGCAAATCATTATACCAACTGAAATTTGCCAATGTTGAGCCCTTGGCATTTTTGTCTGGCTGTGAATCAAAGCGTGCCAAAAATAGAATTAAAGGAGCAGTCAACCCCAAAACAAATAAACAGAATTTATTGGGGGCATTTGGGAGTGACACAAGCCAAATGCCCCTGATGATCACATGGCTTTACACCACCACAAACTCATACCAATGTTTTGGGGACGAATGGCGCCTTTTGGTTTATCATCTTGTTCTTTTATCCTTCAAATCTTAAAGCTTTGGTTGCAATGCAGCCCTTTGTAATAATGAAGTAGCATTTGTTTTACTCAAGTGTTGTTTTGTTAATTGTGTTGTATTGTACAACTGGTTCAGAATACGTTTGTTTTGCTTCCTGTTGATTGAATGGTTTAGGCCCAAAATATATTTCTGACCTCCTGCTAAATTATGAACCATCCAGATCTCTCAGGTCTTCAGGGACTGGTCAGCTTTCTGTCCCCAGAGTCAGAACTAAACATGGAGAAGCAGCGTTCAGTTATTATGCTCCAAATATCTGGAACAAACTCCCAGAAACCTGCAGGTCCGCTGCAACTCTGACTACTTTTAAATCCAGCCTGAAGACTTTTCTTTTTGTCGCTGCTTTTAATTGAACTATTCATATCTTAGACTGCACTGTAACTTTTATCCATGTATTTTTTATTTTAATGTTTATTTTATTAGCTTTTCTTTTTAATGACTGATTTTAAATGCCATTTTCTTAATGTCTTTCATTTTTTGTAAAGCACTTTGAATTGCCTTGTGTTGAAAAGTGCTATATAAATAAACTTGCCTTGCCTTGAATAGATTTGTCTTCAGTAACACACTAATTTCTGTTTAAAGAAAAATAAATGTTATGTATGAATTAAAGATCAATTCATATAACTGAGTGTGGTACATGGCCAGAAAGAAACATAAGATTGAAGATTAAACTTGATTAAACTTGATTAAACTTAAACATCACGTTTTCCCCTTCAATAAGTGTCATCCGTTTCCTATGCAAAGGTCTCTCACACCACATAGGTTAGGGTATCGCTTGGTGAAGTTGCTGTTTGATTAGACCGCTTCACACAGTCTTATTGCACACAGCTGTGAGGCCTACTGGACTCCTAAATCCAGATTTATTCATGTCATTAAGTCCCTTTTAAAATCCCCACTAATCAAAAGGGTCTCTGTCTGACCATGTGTTGGTGTCATTACTGTACATGTAGTGATGACATGAATCTGCTCGGATTGGAGAATCCAGATGATAGAAAGGATGAGAATGACCATCAGCACGAAGACCTCATTGATAATCCCTGAATAAACTAGACAGACGAGCATTGTGAGAAAAACTCATTTGGCCCTTCTGCTCCTCCCTCAGGACCCTTTACACCACCCTCACACACAAACATGCCCTGCGTGTACATTGTTAAGTTAAGGAGAATAGTCCAAGTGCACAACCTTGTTTTCTTGAGTTGTGAATTTTACTTGAAACTCTCTCTGCAAAACCTAACTTTTAGTATTGGGCTAAATATGTGCTACAGCAGGGTTATTCAATTGGCGGCACATGGGCCAAATCTGGCCCCGGGGTGATATTTACAGGCCCTTTGAGTATAATGTTAAAAAGTAATCAAATTATTTTTATTTTTTTTTGGGCCAGCGTGCCTTTATTCCAGAGAGGGTGTTAAATTGAGAGATAGAGGGGAAGACATTGCCTGAAAACTTCGGCGGGCTCGGGTTTCGAACCCACCTACTAGCTACTGTAGTGACAACTCCTGTCATTTATTGCATCTCTGCGTGAATGATTAGATAATTTCACCTAAATTAAATCAAATTAAATGATGTTGATGGTTAAAGTAGCTTCACATGTAGGCCTACTGAGTTCTGAACTTGCCATTTAGATCTAAAAAGGCCTTGGGGCTATGTTGTTTGATTTAATTAAACACAATATATGCACTCCACTATGCTGTTGTAGTATTTACTGTATCTGAAGCTCTTAATATGATTGCTCATATTTCAAGCCATCTTTTTCCCGGCCCCTTGCTTTGGATCATTTTCATCAACCGGCCTCCATTCCAAACGAATTGAATAGCCCTGTGCTACAGCATTGATTCCTGCAGGGAGCATTGTCTTTTTGCCTTCCCTCCTCCATGAGAGCAGTGCAGGGTGAGACACAGAGCAGCACCCCTAGATTCTTGCTTAAGGGCACCTAATCCAGTTAACACAGTTATAAAACACAATCTGAACGACCATTTCAGTGTTTTTAATGTCTTTGATTCATTTAAACTATTCGAGTATATGATGCTCAACAACAATACACACATTTGAAATGTATTTTCCAACAGCCTGGCAGCCATTAGTGTCTGAACAGTATCAAATGCAGAGACTTCAAAATCCACCATAATTAACATAATGTCTAAGTTGAGTAACCCAATGATACCCAAGTATCATGGGAAAAAATAAGACTTGGCGGCCATGCTCAACAGTATTACTACTTAATGATGACTAATACAATAAGGATAGACAATATATTCACATTAACAGACTATATATACATGTCAAGCCTCAGAGGTGGACACAAATCGTCATGGTTTCTAGCAGCTATTAATATGAGTTCCAATATAAATCCTATTTGCTTGCCACTAACCTCTGCTGTCATTTCAGTCCCTGATTTGTAGTTAATGGGACACAAATATATATATATATAAAACACCATTATGCTCCTTTTCAATGAATGCATTGTAATAAAAACAAGCCTTGTGAAAAAATAGTCTGGAGGTTTATCGAGTAGAAGACAGAGTGTAGGAATATGCGCTGTTAATCATATTCGCTCATATTCTACACTTCAATGTGTTTATGTATGAATGCTGATTACATGTCTTAATACAGACAATATCTGCCGAGGCTTCACATCAAACTCTGGACTCTTTCTTTCCATTGCCCTTCAATATTCCACACCATACCATACCACACCACCTGGTATATTTTCCATGTTTTTCAAACTGTCAGTGTTCACATTTAAATGTACTTCTGTGTTCATTGTGTTTTCTCTTGTCTGCTGTCAGATCAATAGTTTATGAAGAATTTAATAATGGATGTGTTTTTTAATTGACTAAGATCTACACTCGAGAAAACATTCAAAACAATGAGTATCTAGAGTTACATTTTGAAAATATATATTATAAATTGGGTGCTAGTTGGGGCATACTTATTATCTCATGCATTGTGCAATAGACATTCATACAGCTCTCAACAGTCAGATCTCAACAGTTCCTTTCTGACTGCCCACTAATCTGAGCATCATCCCTATCTCATGAGAAAATTATTTAGAACATTATCTTCACCCACACATTATTCCTCATCACTTCTGATCTGCTAACTCTATTGTTTTGCTTCTGCAACTAAGGAAATTAAATGGAGGCAGCACGCTGTGAAATGGATGGATGGATGGATGGATAGAAGAGGAATGGGTGTTTTCACATTCATAAGCCAAACTTACATCTTTGAGCATGTTCATAAAGCGCGATCCAAAGCGCCAGGGTTTGTGTCGGTGGCACTGAAGCGAGCTGACGGTAATCTGGGAGGTGCGCTGCGAGGCAGCAGCCACCATGTAGACAGCGTCATACATCAGAGCTGCTTCGGTCTGAAAGAGAAATGCAGCCGTCAGCATCCATCAGCGGGATAACCTCATGCCCTTATCACATCAGGACTGATGTTCATGCACATAACCTTATGGTTTCTAAAAAAGTTCAGCTCCAGTTTCATAATACTACTCATACAGGCAACCACAAGCAGCCACAGAAGTGTTTCTGACTGAAATGTGGGCATTGAAGGTCTTGTGCAGCTTGCACAAATAGACTACATGTTCAAACATTTATGTATAATATCTCAGTCATTGTGTTGAAATGTAGTAAATGGCATTCTCTGATACAATAGTATAGTTTTTAGCAAAGGTTGAAAGGCAAAGTTAGAAAATGCGAAAAATAATAAAATGTGAGTTCAACTGAACTTTTTTCCTTCTGATAGTGAGATGTTTTAAAAAACGATGTTCATTCCTTACTTTCAAAATACGTAAGCAACTGGAAGGATTTAATGATTTATTAAATTGTGCTAACTAGCTTACACACATAAACCAAATAATGACAAACTAACGCTGTTCACCAACTTTCCTCTACTGACAAGCTCAAACTGTCCATATATTTTCCATTTATTAAATATAGAAATTATTAACTTTCAGTGTCCTTTTGAGCATGTTGCTTAAAGTACGTGAACAATCAGAAGAGCAGCAGTGGGGACATTGTTAAGATGGGCTTCCCCACTGGGCCCCTGCCCTTGGAGAACATTTGGCATGAGGAATGAAAAGAGGAAGGTGAAGTCACTCACTGTCATCATCCCCTCCATCATTCCAGTCTCAGCTTTAGAGGGAGCCTGCAGCCGCTCCATGGCCCACCTCTCCACCACCGAGGCCACCTGCGGGCTGTCTATGTTGAGCAGTCTGAAGCCCGTCATGTTGACCCCACTATAGCGGTACGGCTCCAAGTCGAGGGCAAACAGGTCCTGTAGAGGTACAACATCATCAGCAAAGAATCAATTTGATTCTACTCAAAATTACCCACAAGTAGATGTAAGTTACTAAGCAAAGGCAAAGGGACTGTTCATTAAAACAGAGGAACAATATACTGCATAATACTATGGAATTATGTCAAGTGCACTGAAAACATCCAGCAATCTTGTTATAAAACAAACCACAGATGTTCATCTGCATAATCTTTGCATAACAGAATCGCTAGGTGCCTACACACATTTCAGCTTGCGTAGGATAATAAGATACTTAATTAAGACAATAGAAAAACTGTAATTACGAGCATATCCATCAGGTTTTTCAATTGAGTTTCAGAGAGAAACTCTTTCCTGTAAATATAATGTGAAATGTTTTCTTACCAGTGTGGTGAAGAAGAAGTGGTAATATTCAGTCATCATCCCCATGGACAAGATCTAAACAGGATGATAAATGAACGGTTCATAGTTTCCCCCCCGACTACACAATCATGTTTTTCTCCAGCCAGCATAAAATATATTTTCTTTCATCCACATCCATACCAAGAGACTTGCAAATTAGGCATTCCAGCCATTTTCTGAATTGCCTCATTTAGTCTTGTTTGCATAGTTTGGATTAACAAGTTTCCAAGTGAGTATATGTCACAATTTGCTCATGGAGGCATAGTGTTTCCAATTAATCTTACATGCAGCTTTTGGTTTGAAATGTCTATGTCTGGCTCAAAAATAAGCTCTGCTCGGATCTGGAAATGATCATAAGATTTCTAAAGGGGATAGAATTAGACTAATCTTGCACATAGTGAACATTAAACAAAAAAACACTGAAGAAACACCAGAATAACACAGAAACTTCTCTCCACTGAAGAATTCAAATTGGATTTCAAAGAGCACGTTGTATTTTGGGTGTCAAGATGTCAATTAAACCCAGAGGCCCTCAGGACAATGACCTCTGTCCAGTGTGGTGGCAGATGTTTGGGATAATTCACCTGTTTGAGAACATCAGCTGATGTTTGGTAAGAGCAGTCAAAGATGACATAGAACTCCTTTCCCTTCTTCATCTCCTTTAATAGAGGACGGGCATCTTTACTTCCTGTTGGCAGCTGGCGGATCTTGATTTTAATGCTGTATCTGGATGGAGCTTTGATCAACTCTTGCAAACGAATCAGTCCTTAAATTAAAAGATAGCAAAATAGTGATTAGGGTCAACAAGCAAATATTTACAAAAAACCCAAATCTGGATAGTAGGTTACTCCAAGACAGTGGAAGTAAAACTATGTGATTAAACATAATCAGATTTTGATTGTCTTTGAGTGTTTAGGTTTCATGGTTTTGAAATTGCAAACAAATGCATCTGCTTCAGTGACTGGGTTATTAACCTACAACTTTACACAGTGCTTTCTAAAGACATAGCTGAAGCTAACGATAGTTACGGCAGTAACTACGGTTCTATGAGTCCCGGATGACCGCCAGAGGCAGTGCTTTAAGCACTGGATATGTCCATCGCGCGCATGCGCAGCTCGGGTACCAATAACAACAAAGTCACCTGTGACCCACGTGACACCGGCTATATCAGCCGGTGTCGTCAGAGGATCTGTTCCCAGAATCTTCTCGCGAGCACACAAGAATTCTGAGTGACAGGGAACTCTGGCGGTCATCCGGGACTCATAGAACCGTAGTTACAGCCGTAACTATCGTTCTATTTCGTCCCTACTGACTGCCAGAGGCAGTGCTTTAAGCACTGGATGACTTATACCAACAATGTCATGAAGAATCCAAGCCCTTGCTCACCACTGGAAACAGCGGAGCTCGGCAAAAGGACCACGCCCAAAGAATGGGGAGTGGCGACATTGACCTGATGACAACTGGAGAATGTGCCAGAAGACGCCCACGATGCCGCGGCGCAGATGGTCTCCAGGGGCACCACCCTCAGGGCAGCCCAAGATGTTGAGATGCTCCTTGTAGAGTGGCATCTCAGCCTGATGGCAGGGGGGCGGCCACTGGCCCCGTAAGCCTGTGAGATGGTATCGACAACCCAGTGGGGCAGCCACTGGTTAGAGGGCATAACCTTCTTTAGTGCCGCCAGGGCAAAATCAAGAGTTGCTCCTACTGCCGTATACAGGCAGTAGCCTTGATATACGCCCTTTGGGCACCCCCAGGGCACAGCAACTTTGACGTGCCGTACTCCTGAATGTCAAAGCGTGCCAGCTGGGCAGGCTGATTGAAGTGGGTTTGTGGAAGGACCCCGGGCAGGAATGCCACATTTGCCCAAAGGGCAACGCCTGAGAGTCCCACCTCGGGCATGTATTGTTTATGGAGAGGACATGCAACTCCCCGACTCGCTTCCCTGAGGCTATGGCAAGCAGAAATGCTGCCTTCGTGGGCAGCCACCTAAGCCCCACCTGGGCCAGGGGCTCGAAGGGAGGAGATGATCGGGCATCCGGCAGCAGGGGCAGGTCCCAAGCCGGAGTCCTCTGGGTGCTAGGGGGACGCTGCCGTAAAGCCCCTCTCATAAAGAGGGACACCGACCTGTGGCACCCCGCCGTGGCGCCGTCGACCCAAACATGTCGGGCAGAAATCGCAGCCACATAAATTCAGAGTGGAGTGAGAACGTCCACTTTCTAGAAGGGACTGTTGTCTAAGCAACAACGTACATGCTGTCCCCAAGGAACATGCACATTCTTGCCCCCCAGTTGGGGTAGAAAGTGCGTGAGTGCAAGCTGCACAGCCCGAAGCTCTAGCACGTTGACCTGGCGCGCACTCTCCTGGGCAGACCGCTGACCCTGAACGGTCCTGCCCTGCCGCACTGCACCCCACCCTGAGAGACATGCACCTATGGTGATGGTCTCCTGGCGGGATGGGATGGCGCCCATGGGCACGCCCACTAGGAGATAGGCCCTGCCCCTCCAGCGTGACAGAGAGTGGAGGCAATGCTGCGACACCCTGACTTCCCTGTGCCTGTGCCACTTGGCGTCCAAGTGAAGGCTGTTCAGCCACATCTGCATGGGGCGCAACGACAGCGGGCCTAAGGGCCCAGCGGCCGAGGCAGCTGCCAGTCTGCCCAAGGGCTGGAGGAACAGAATATAAGGCACCATCTTGCCCGGCCCACGTGGAAGTAGGCATCCCTCAAGTCCACGGTTGAGAACCACTCCACCTGTGCATATGCAGTGGTCAGCATATAGAATGGCAGCACCTTCGGGAATCTGTTGATTCCTCTGAGGTCCAAGATCGGGCGAAATCCGCCGACTTTCTTGCTCACGAGAAAGTACGCCGAGTAGAACCCCCTGGGCTAAGCAGAGGGTCTTACTGGCTTGATTGCGTCTTTGGACAGACCAGAGCTAGAGCCCCTGCCGGATCGCTGACGACTGTCAATTAGACCCAGCCGAAGGCTAGGGGCCGGAGCTGCGGTCCGTACCCCTGGGTTAAGGTGAAAACCACCCAAGGGACGGAAGTACAGACCGCCCAGTAACTGAGCTGCTGCTGGGAAAGCAGCCGACGACCGCCCCCGGGATTTCAGGGCACAGCCCCCCGGCCCCTGGAGCCTCTTGGGGGGCGCCGGTAAGGCTCTGGGGCACGAGGCCGCGGAAGTCATTGGGTCGCGCCGCTAAGACCTCTGCAGACCACCCCTGTAATCCGGCTGCTGAGTGCGGCTGCTAGAGCCGCCCCTGGGCCTGCTGGGAGTGGGCACAGGTCTGCGAAGACCCGAGAGCTGCTGCCTGGGCTTGGGCTTGGGCGGTACGCTACAGTGCCTCCAGGGCAGCTAACCTAAACAGCTCCCCTGGCTCGACTGGTACGCTACGGAGGACTCTCCTACATGCCTCCGTTAGTGGTGACTGGGCCAGCGAAACCTGGCGACGAGTCTGTACCAGCGACAAGGCATCCTCATACAGAGGTGCGTCAACCGAAGGAGGTGCGTCAGCCGAAGGAGGTGCGTCAACCGAAAGAGGGGCGTCAACCGAAGGGGGGGGGGGGGGGGGGGACAGGCGGCCCGCTAGCAGCCCCTACACCGGGCCCAGGCTGAAGGGCCAAGAGGCTACTTCATCATGCCCCTATCGGCAGCTAGCCGATCCACTTTAGAGGACAGCCTGTTTCTAGTCCTTCTATTGGGGGGAGCACACATAGCCATCGCTCCCTCAAGTCGCCGGGAATGGCCGAATTGATCTGGAGGAGGATGTGACAAGGAGAGGTGTCTGTTGGCTGCTGCCAGACGTTCCACCTCAGTGATTCTAGCCACTCTGAGCGCCCGAGGCATGCAGCTACAGCTCATGCAGGCATTTTACCGTGAGAACCTCCCTCAGATGCTCTCATTTCGTCCCCACTGACCGCCAGAGGCGCCCGAGGCAGGAGGGGCAGCGGTCATGGCCGTCCTCTGGCTCAAAAGAAGCCATACAGGCGCTACATGAATGAGCCATTCTGTAGGTAGCCAGATGCAGCGTAGCCGGGAGCGGGTGCGGGAACAAAGCCTTCACCAGCTACTTGCTTAATGGAAAGAGTAGAGCGTTGCTGCTACTCGCCGAACAGAAAGAGGGATGTAATTACACCCACGTTACCGGCAGAGGGAGCGTGAGCGAGAGCACTGCCTTCACCTGGCTGGATTAATAAACACGGCAGAACACTGCCGGCTGAGTTAGAGACGAATGCCAGATGCAGCATAACCGGGAGCGGGTGCGGGAACACAGCCTTCACCAGCTACCTGCTTAACGGAAAAACGAGGCAGTTCAGCGTCTACCAGGAGCGGGGGCGAGAACACTGCCTTCACTGGTTGAGTTAGAGACGAATGCCAGATGCAGCGTAACCGGGAGCGGGTGCGGGAACACAGCCTTCACCGGCTACCTGCTTAACGGAAAAGCGAGGCAGTTCAGCGTCTTCCAGGAGCGGGGGCGAGAACACTGCCTTCACTGGTTGAGTTAGAGACGAATGCCAGATGCAGCGTAACCGGGAGCGGGTGCGGGAACACAGCCTTCACCAGCTACCTGCTGAACGGGAAGAGTAGAGCGGTGCTACTACTCACCGAACAGAAAAAGGGATGTACTGTAGCTACATCCGCATTACCGGTAGAGGGAGCGGGAGCGAGAGCACTGCATTCACCTAATTGGGTAAAATAAAGAAGCTTAACAGTACACGCAAGACGTTAGCCGAGCAGCTGCTGCTAACGATCAAGCGAGATCAAGTCAAATAACACACATGTTTAAGACCAGATAACTAGCTTCTAAAGAAGAGAACAGCACAGAGCCCTAGTTACAGCAGTAACCATGGCCAGTGCTCACACGGCATATAACCGTAGTTACAGTAGTAACTATGGCCAGTACTTACACGGCTTAGAACCGTAGTTACAGTCGTAACTATGGCCAGAACTTACACAGCATAGAGCCGTAGTTACAGTAGTAACTCTGGCCAGTACTTGCACGGCTTGGAACCGTAGTTACAGTAGTAACTATGGCCAGTACTTACATGGCTTGGAACCGTAGTTACAGTAGTAACTATGACCAGTACTTACACAGCGTAGAGCCGTTTACGGTATTGACTATGGCCAGTATTTGCACGGCTTGGAACCGTAGTTACAGTAGTAACTATGGCCAGTACTTACGGCTTAAACCCGTAGTTACAGTAGTAACTATGGCCAGTACTTACACAGCATAGAGCCGTAGTTACGGTATTGACTATGGCCAGTACTTACACGGCTTGGAACCGTAGTTACAGTAGTAATTATGGCCAGTACTTACGGCTTAGAACCTTAGTTACAGTAGTAACTGTGGCCGGTGCCTAAAAGTGTCAGCCAAACGGCTGCCCACTAGATAATATAATATTGGGAGGATGAAATCCTCCTTAATGGCCACACATGCAGAGCACACAGCACAGTGAAGATTGTTCGCTGCATATCGTCCTAGTGCTAGGAGTCAAGTACTAGGAGCAGTAAATACAACGATATAGCGCTACTGCAACCATACAATGCGCCCGTATAGAACCGTAGGCCATGGTTACAGTAGTAACCTCACATGCGGAGCACACAGCACCCGCAGTGAAGATGTTCTCTGCATATCATCCTAGTGCTAGGAGTCTAGTACTAGGAGCAGTAATACAACGATCTAGCGCTACTGCAATCAAACCCTATGTTACCGGGAGCGGGAGCACTGCCCTCACCGGCTGAGTTAATAGTTAAGCTTAACAACA